GGGCTGCTCCATCCCTGAAAGTGTTCAGGGCCAGGTTGGATGAGGCTTTGAGCAACCTCATCTAGGGGAAGGTGTCCTTGCCCATCGCCGGGGTTTGGAACTAGATAATCTTTAAGGTCCCTTTCAACACAAACCATTCTGTGATTCTAAGACCCCATGAGACTGCAGTCCTGTTCCATCTCCAGCATCTCTTGGCCCAAGCCTTAAGGTCCTGGTTGCCTCCTTCCCTTGATCTACCAGAAAACAGTTCAGGAATGAAGCTGAGAGCAGAGAGGAGAAGATAGCCCAGCAGCCATGGTGAGAAACCAAGGAGAACAGCAGAGACCTGAATCTGTCCTACCAATCCCTCAGCCCCTCACTCATGCACTGAGCTGCTATAAGGTGATGCGTGGTGGCCCTGGGGACAACACAGGGAGCTGTGACTGAGAGCTTGGAGCAATCCAGTCAAATCCTGCAAATGCCTTGGAGGGCAAGTGATGTGTCAGTCACTGAGGCCATGGGACAGGCAAACTGCATCTCTTATCAAAAGTAAAACTACACTGCAAGCTGGGAAAATAAAGACGTGCATGAGCTGGACTTAAAGCTCAAACCCCAAAGCATCATCTTAATGAAGAAAAAAAAAATGTTTCTTCCCACCCCCAGTTCATCTTTGCAAGAGATACACAAGGACTTCAGGCAACAGCACCAAGATGCATTGCTTCCCCTCAAGAAACTTAGAGTCCAGCCCCACCACTGCATGTCCTGCAGCCAGCAGAGGCTGTGAGAAGAAGTACAAGTCTCAGGTCCACACTAAAACCAGCTGCAGGCAGTAGCACAGGACACCTCATCCTGCCCAGGGCTCTCTGCATGGAAGGGACACATGAAGCACCCTACAACCATCAGGGGCTCATTAGTTCCCCAATAACCCCGTAATTCCTACCATGTGGAAAACCCTCCGGCTTTAACCGGCGGTTCAGGCTTTATCCAATGGGATATTCAGGCCCTTTAATAATTTGTGGTCTGCAAGTCTCCCCTCACCATGTAAAAGATGATACCGGCTCTTCAGCCAGGCAGAAGACAACTCCACATGCCCCAGGTCCCACCACAAGGCAGACATACCATCGTAATAAAACTGCACATCATCAGGCAGCGGCTCATACAGAGGGGCGAAGTAGGGTCCTCGATGCTCCAGCTGCGTCCACTTTACCCCATCTTCCTTCTTCTCCTCTTCCCACCTGAGACAGACGCACAGGGACTCATGAGAACATCCCCATTCTGGGATCTGGGACCTTCTCCCATGGTCACACCAGGAAGATTGTCTGTGAGCAGCAAGTGTTGCCACAAAACTCAGGTGAAATCCAGCCGTCTCTGCTACTGCCTCAGTTTCCCCATTCTTTCAAACAAGGAAGACTGCAATGTGACCCAGGGAAAGGCGTCTTGAAGGAGACATGCTCAGTGCAGTGACACAGAAGAACACAGCAGGAGAGCAAAAGGATGGATGGGGCAGTCAAATCCATGGGGACAGGCACCGAGACCCCACCGCTGAGCCATGAAGGTTTCTCAGCTCACACCAAAAAGAGGCTGCAAGGGTTAAAACATTCTCTCCTTTCCTCATTGGACCTCACCGCATTTTTTTTTTTTTTTTTTTAAAAAGCACACAAAAAAGCTCATGTGCTTATCCCAGAGGAGGAGCTCACACCACACCACGTTCGTGGCTAGGAGACCGCCACCCCATACTATTTATATTTATGATCTTAGTGCAAATAAAATCTTAAAGCATCTCTCCTCCCCGTAGAGCAATTAGGACTTTGAAGTCACCACAAGCCTTAGGTGAGAAACGATGACTTTAAAAATTTTATAATAAAAAAAATAATGAACACACTCGCCCTGAAGATTAAAACAAAATTAAAATAACCCAGTATCAGGGGAACACGATGCCTGCCAGAGAAGTTTGCTGATGGCAGTGCATGGGACAGGCAGGAGATCTGCACCCTGCAGCTGAGCGCCAGCCAGGCACCTGCCCATTCACCCCAGGATCACTGGGAAAACAAGGATTGCTGGGAAAACACAGCAAGATTTCACCGTGGGGAAGAAGAAAAAAAAAAATAATCAAAACCAAAACCCCAGCGTTTCTTGCTCAGCAGTGCCCCGGAAGTATTTCTGACCTTTCTCCTCCCTACGGGAAGCGGAGTGGAATAAATGAATCGCGTCGAAAGGCACATTGTGCCAGGAGAACATAGGAATAAAATAAAAGATATTAAAGAAAAATCAACGAGCGACAGAAAACGTGGCTGAAAGCATCTCAGCAGGCAGCTGCAAGGGTGATCTGCAGCCAGGGCTCTGTCTCTCCTCCCAAACCCACATGATTCCCTTCCTCGGGAAAGGATCACCTGCACTCACCTTCTGCAGCCCCCCGAACTCAGCCGGAGGCAAACGGGGGCGAGCTGGGGGTGTTGGACCCCACGGCCAAGCAGCGAGGAGGCCAGACGTCGGTACATGCCACCGGCCACCCACGGAGACGACGAGGTTGATGGATGGCTGGGTCACCCCAAGCATCCTACCCTGGTACCCCGTTACCCACCGGGGCACAATGGTGGTACCCAAGGCATCACCATGAGAAGCCACCACTATGTCCAAGCAGTCCAGTTTGTGGCACTCCCCACATGCAAAGGCAGTGAAGCCTTCTGGGAAATGTAGTCCTGGCACGTGTTTCGGGGTAAAACCACAGCAAATCGAGCTGATGCTACGTATCAGCCTCTCACCTCTGTACCAGGCTCTAGCCCCCCCCCAAACAAGGCATTACTTAGCAAAAAAAAAAAGCCACATAGTCCCACTTTTCATGCCACCCTGTGCCCCACAAGAGCTGTCCCAAAGGTCCAGGCACCTACGGGCATCCCTGTCTGGGATAACATCCTAGCAGCTCCCCACAATCCAGGTTTGCAACAGGCTCCAAAGCACCCAGTACCCCTAAATGTTCCTTTTCTGTCCCCAGATATTAGGATGCTTTGAGAGAGAGTGACACCAAGTGGCCACTGCTCCTTGCCACCTCGGAAAAAGAAAAATAATAAAAACGCAGTATCCATCAGGCCCACTCATACATCCTTTCCCAATGCTCTCCTGCCAAAAAACTTGCCTGGATCATCCAAAAACTGCTGCAAAAGGGGAAAAAAAAACCCAAACTAACACAAAAAACCCCCCACACATCTCCTTTGTATCCTCTACAACTATCTGATAGGAGTCCCACCGTTTTGGAAGTTGTTTTTTTTACAGCAGGTTGGGCAAATCATCTCTGTTCACCAGCCATAAGCATCTCCCTTCTCTAGCTGGGCACCAGTAAAGCCATCTCAGGAGGAATATAGATTATATACTGTTATAAGAGTGAAAAAACCTATTGTACAAACATTATTGTGTATTCAGGACCTCTCAACCCTTTCCTCCTGGCAAGGGTGCTGAGCTCAAGGCTTAAGAAAACACAGCAGAGCAGTTAAAAAAATAGTAATAAACCAGATTTTTCACAGTCTTACCTTGAAAAAATGAAACTAAAGCCCCAAGTGCGTTAGTGTTGGACCTGCCCACAGGCCAAAGGCATGCAGGACACTTACCACTTCCACTTGTTTTCTGCCTCTGCTTTCTTTTCTTCCTCTTTCTCCTCCTTTTTAGCCTTTTTGTTGTCTTTTTCTTCTCCTTCTTCCTTAGATTTCCTTTTACGGGTTTTCCCCGGGGTCTCTTCCTCTTTATTCTTCTCTTTGCTCTTCTTCCCCTTCTCTTTCTTCATTTCTCCCTCTGGCTTTTTCTCCCTGAT